CCCCCCTCCCCACACACACACCATTACTCAGGAGCTGTGTTGTGTTGTGTTGTTAAAAGACCAAATGTTATTGTTGACAGGTACTTCTCTCACACTGCTGGATGACAACACACTGTTATTCCTGTTATTAAAAGACGATGTAATACTCTTTAATGTAATAATAGATTACTTAAATGTACTAATGACTTTATAGTCTTAATACTTAACTTTAGGTATACCTTAAATTTAATGGTAACCTAAATTACGAACCTAAAATGTATTTCATAATTAAAGTGTTAAAATAAATGTAATTAATGACCAGAAATGTAATGACTGTCTTAAAGGTAATATTGTTGATATGTAAAGGTAATTATATCATTAATGTGATGAGTGTAATCAACTGTGTATCATCCTAACCTAACCTAACCCAATCCACCTTGACTAATATTACTTTAAACTGTTTATATAAAGATTTATTACCTTTAGGGCTGATAATAAATTTATTCTAATATTTTCTTTTTCTCTCGGCAGGTGAGTGAGTGTCGTCTGTGTCTGTCTGTCGCCCAGGTGTACAGACTAACTGACGGTGATTAACAAGGAACAAGACTTTTGGACGTGAGTTTGTATGACTGTCTGAAATAGTCACTTGCTCTCAGTCACAAGGGAGGTTAAGGGAAGCTTCGTCATATCCTAAGAATCAAGAAGTTACTTAGGTCCTGTGTATAATCTCAAGTTACCATGACTGTAGGAATGTTTTGATCACGTTATGTCTAAACCTGGTGGATTTTTTTTTGACGTATGGTTGATGTCTGAACGTTCTCTTACCCAGTGATGCTATTTTGTTTTGAGTTTAGCCAATGGAATTTCTTCACTGTGTATAAGAGGAATTTTAAATACCTCGGGATTTCTGGGCACGACACAAACTTGACGTCTGGAATCCAATGCGTGACTTAGAGCTCGTCTTGTGTGTGTGTGTGTGTGTGTGTAGCACTTGTCATTAACCTCTGGCGGGATATATTTAAAGCGTCAACCCCTTCTCCCCCTCCTCGTCCCTGCCTCCACCAGCGTCACCCACTAGAGACAGAGGACCATACCGAGAGAGCGAGTGTTCCCTGTGGCTGGTGGACGCCTTCCTCAGACCCCAGGTGATGATGGATGGCTCAGGTGGTGGAAGTAAGCACTGTTGGTTGGCTGGCTGGCGGCCCTAGCCCCAGCCTAGCCTAACCTAGCCTCGCCTCGCTCACCCGCCCTATTCAAATGTCGGCCCATTGTGCTATTGTCACCCTTATACATTGTCACCCTCACCCCTCCCCTCCTCCCTCATCACCCTCTCCCCCTTCCCCCCAGAGAGCCCTCACCCATGTTTGGTTCAAATATGTTAATGGGAGGAGTAGTGTGTGTGTGTGTGTGTGTGTGTGTGTGTGTGTGTGTGTGTGTGTATTGGTCATGTGCGGTGGGATAAGGGGGGGAGATGGATAGGGCAGTCAAACATGTCACAAGGTTAGGTCATCGTCACACACACACACACACACACACACACACACACACACACACACACACACACACACACACACACACACACACCACACACACCTGACTGTAACTCCACCTCAATATAAAATCTACAAGACGCCATGTTTGTGAAGAACTCCACCCTTGACCCAGGCTGTCACCCCTCCTCTCTCCCCACACCAGTCCTCCCTGCCCCTCCTCCCCACCTCCACATGCTCTCCACAAGTTCTATGTCCCATGTATACCTTGACCGCCTCCCCCACCCTCCCTCCCCCCCCCCACCCCACCCTCCTCTCCCACACCCCTTCCCCCCCCTCCCACACCCCTCACCCCTAGCATCAACAAACCCAACAAAAACCTGGAGTTAAGTTGGCATTGCTCCATCATTCGTTCCGAGGTTGTGTGCGCTCCTGAATTAGCACCTATTCTTCGACGGCTTTTCAGGTGTTCAGGGAGCCAACCAGTCTCTCTCCCTCTTCTCCCTCCCACTCCCTAGAAACTTAGTTCAATCATGTATTCCTATTTTATACCAAGCTGTCGGTTCAGGATTTCACAACAGTAGGCAGTGTCTCTTAAATGTTTAGCTGATAGTCCTCTGTAAACAAGTCTGGTCTGTTATCATGAGGAATTGAAGTTGGTTTTGGGTAGACAATGTTTGTTTGGTCCAGGACGATCCATTGATGACTTGTCTACAGGTAAGCACTTCCCTCATCACCCCTTTCAGTTTACCTCGTCAAAATAATATCTAATTCCAGAGGTCTTATTAGTAATCAAAATCACAATAGACTACGGATCATGATTCGATTTTTATCATTTTTTTTTACCATTAAAGAAACAGGTTGATGAGGAGAGGAAGACCACATAAATTCTATCTCACTTTCCTTACCTTCATTATTCCGTCATACATCGTTGTTTATATACTGTACCTATACCAATACTTCCCCTTCCTCATCTTATCACATCTCTCCTCACCCCACTCCTCCCCTCCTATCTCCTCTCCACTCCCCCTCTCACCCCTCCACTCCGTACCCTTCCTTTCTCCACCCCCCTCTCTTCACCCCTTCCCTCCCCCACCCCTCACTTTCCATACTCACCCCTCCCCTTCTCTCCACTTCTTCTCCTCCCCCCTCCCTTCCTCACCCCTTCCTTCTCTAGCTCTTCTCAATCGTCTCCATTATTCTTCTTTCCTATTACAACGGTGTTAAGATGTCCTCTGAGTGTAAGACAAGAACTCTAGGAAGGGTCACTGCGTCGTTGCTGTCATTTACACTCAAACAGACTGTCATTTATTCCTTGATAGTGAAATCTTTTTTACTTCTTCACACACAACATTACCTGACAGTCTTACACCATGTACCAGTTTCCTCCTTCAGCCAACCAAACCAATTCTTCCTGGCGCTGGTGTTTACGTGTGGTCAAGACGGAGAGGAGAGAGTCGAGGAACAATAGGGAAGGTGGCGGTGTGGTACTCCCTTGGGGGTAAGACGATAAACAGGAGACTTACCACCCTTTAGTCGTTGAACCTCAAGATGGCATATATCTTTTTTACCTGAGATCATTGACCCGTATGAGGGGGGTTTAAATGTTATTCTTATTATGAAGTGTTAGACGAAACCTGAGATTCAACTTTGTACTTACTTCCATGATAGAAAAACTACTAACAACAACAAACATATAATCACAGTGTTAGAGAAGAGTATTTGTTATTTTATTCGTAAGGGTTATCAACATGCTCAGGAAAGGAAGGTAGGGGTTAGGTTGGTAGGGGGAGGAGAAGGGGGTGGACTTTGGCATGTGACGTGTATGGTAATGTGTCAGTCAATTTACTTATCCTATTATATGATCGCCCCACCGGATTGTTTCTTTATACTTGAAATCAAATACTCGATATTGGTTTGTATTTTGACTCGGAAAAAAAAATAGTAGGTGTTTGGAATTTGGACTACACCCCCCCCCCCCTCCTTCCTCTCTTCTCCTTCTCCCTACTTTCTTCCCCTCCTTCCTCCCCCTCCCCCCCTCTCTCCTTCCTCAACCTAACCTAGCCGGGTAACGTTAGGGTGGTCAAATCTTCAGCTGTACCGAAAAAAAACAACACAATTTCGGAGAATGTGGGTCAAAGGTCAAGGTCACAGAGAGGTGATCACTCTTACTCACCGTCTCAGGTAGTCAGGAGGTTTGAATTAAGTGAAAGTTTGTCTGTCTGTGTTTGTTTGTTTGTTTGTTTGTTCAGATGAGTTATTGTGCATGTTGTGTTTGTTTATAAGAGAAATAACCAAAGCATTTAATTAAACCTATTTTTAATTACACACGACAGGTAAGTCAAGGTAACAGGTGTAAATGAGTGTTACACAGGTGAATGTAGGTGGTCACCTTCCTCCCGCATTATACAACGGGAAGGTCAGTCAGCTGGTCGAATCAACCCAGCCACATAGTTTATACAGGTGTGTGTGTGTGTGTGTGTGTGTGTGTGTGTGTGTGTGTGTGTGTGTCCCAGGGTAGGCTCAGGCCACACACTACCCGACATAACCCGAGACGATGTGTATCTCTGTTATTAATAAGATTACGTGAGTCTTATCTGACCCGTACACCTCCAGCCCCCAGGTAACACGACCTCCATCACCATCACTACCACCACCAACCATACTTCATCACCACTACCACCATCTCCTTCACTACAACCATCCCCTTCACTACTACCACCATCCACTTTACCACCACTACTATCTTCATCATCCCCTTCACCACCACTATCATCCTCTTCACCATCACCACTACTACCACCATCTTTCACCACCACTAACACCTCCTCATCTTCACTACTAATACATAAGTCATGATCTACCTGTCAGTTATATCAAGTTACACTCACACTTAGGCAGTAACAGACCTCCAGCCAATGTACCCCTGAAAAAAAACACAATGTCACAAGCAATGAGTTGGGTCCCAGTTCATCAAGGTTCGTATAATGAATGTCTCTCGTAACTGAAAATGTAAGATGTTCCTACTTATTGACGTAAACATCATAACATCATAATTAGGTTGAGACTCTACTATATACTGTATGTTCACTTAGCAGCAACAGTTAAGGAATAAGATTAAAGTATAGAACCTTATAAAAAATATTCTTTATATTATCTTGGTGTTAGTTGACTTGTCTTTACTTAAACTTATCGAGTTATATGGAACTCAAATAATCATACAATATTAAAAACATACATACACTGTAACCAGAAATATTGAACTTTATTATATTTCAATTTTTTTCATTTTTGTATTTTCTTTCGTTTGCTTTTTTATGATAATTCTACGAGTTATAAAAATATTCTTCTTAGATATTCGGGTTGTGATCTGTCAGCCATAACACACTGGTCTTGGCTCTCTCCCTACCAACATCATTAGTGTAACAAGAGGAGGTTTATTATGTTATACTGTAGGTGTATCAGTGTAGGTGTACTAACAGGTGTAGCAGCAGGTGTGATGGCAGTAACTGACAGTGTTTATTGTTGCAGGTGAGCGTCAGCGTGGTGGCAGGACAGCGGGTAACACGTCGTCGTCGGCGATGTGAAGATGAAGACTGCCCCCGCCCCGGCCGGGGACCCACGCCCCCCACCTACGCCGGACCCGCCCACTCACCCAGGGACGGACCCGGGGGGAGGTGCGCCGCCCCCCACTGACACCACCACTCCTGATACTACCTCCACCAGCGGTAGTGGACGGTGGGCGGCGGCGGTACTCCTTCTAACACATATTGTGGAGCTGGCCGCCATGGTCGCTGCAACCCTCGCTCATGCCCTCCCTCCTCATCTACCACCCGAGACAACCCACAGCCCGCCGGATGCCACTCATACGCCGCCCGAAGCCACCAACACGCCTCCCGAAGCTATTCTAACACCAGGCGAATCAGGCCATGCGAGCAAGGAAGGCGTGTGGGGACAGGCTGGTCTGCCCCTACAGGTGGCGATGGGTGGCGCGCCCCTGGTGGTCATCACGGCCATCTCCCTGGTGTGGGCCGTGCGTGCACAGGATTTTTCTGGCAGAACGACAGCACGAATGTTGTGCTGGCTCCTACATGTCCTTCAGGCCTCTATCCTCTGGCGCTTTCTTAAAGTGCACCTCGCTTTCGACCCCAGCGACGTGGCCGAGTTAGGGACGTTGAGATTCGTGCAGGTGCACGTGCACACGTTACCCTTTTTAGTTTTACACGTGACCATGATGGTGGGGGTTGGTGGTTGTCCTGGGGTGGTAAGCATCCTGGTTGCCGTGGTGATGATAGTGTCAGTGGTGGTAACCATTATCGTGGCCACCACAGCTAGCCACAGCTCCCGTCCTTCCTCCCTTACCCCGCCCACCATCACCCAAGTGGCACATAATCCCATCCATGGGCCGAGCACAGAACACAGTCATGACGTGGCAGTACGGGGAGTGGTGGCCGTCACCACCTCCTGTGTCATGTGGAGCAGAGCGGTGGCTGTGGCGGCGCTTTTCTGTCTCCATGTCACTTGGGCGTCTGTATTGGTCATTATTCACTGGCTGGCGGCGCTCGTCTGGCTCAGTCTGCAGCAGGAGTTAGAACCCACCACGTTGGGTCCCGTTCGTAAGTCCCTCCGCAGAGCGTTCCTCGCCTATCTTCTGCTGTGGGACTGGCATATCTTCCGTGACGATGCTTCAGCCATGACAGTGTGTGCACGTCCTCGCCTCCCTGCCGCCTACTACACCATTACTGCCATCCAGAATGTGGCTGTTATTGCCACTTGGTATACTACGGGCAGAACCGTCCTCCTTGTGGTCCGCACCGCAGTTCTGTCCTCCGTGTTGGCTGCCCAAGCTGTGGCACTGCTGCTCTTGGCACTCTCCTACCTCTACTGCTCCTCGCTCCTGCCCTCCTGGCCTCGTGACAAGGCCTCAGCTTTCGCCAGGACGGCCTCGCTAGTCATACCCGCTGCCAAGTCTGCGCTCCCACCCGCTACTGACACACAGGAAAGAAATAGCTCCTACGTCGACTTTAAGGACATCGAAGAAGGCGAGGTTCCTGAGGTTAACAAGGACAAAGGAGATGGAGAAGATGCTAACCGAGAGGTCGTCACACCCTTAAAGAATATGCCACCTATGGCCCACTCAACGCCTCGCACGCCACTGCCACTTGCCCCGCGCCTCATGGCCGCTCATCTCCCACCCACTATGTTTAGTTTTTCTCATGACATCTTGCCTCCACGGCTGGCGAAATCTGAGCATTCTTCCACTGACAACGGATCTTTTAATTCAAGGAACACTAATACGCTTCCAGCACAGTTGCCACCAGAATACGACCTGCTGCAGAGAGCCCATGGGTCGTTCTCTGACAGCTTTAGTTCACTCTCTTGTGGCACCATCAACCGAGCCACAGCGACCGTGAGGCCAATAGTCACTCATGATCCCAGAGCTCAGCGCACCCCACCATCGTCTGCAAAGCTGACGTTTGTTTCCCACTCATCTTGTAGGAATGGGTTTTGTCACTGTAAATTGTTTGATGGCATAGAAGGCCCTTGTGATGTTAATGAAGAAGATGAGGAAGAGAGAGATGAGGAAGAAAACCAGCAGAAGAAAACAATCGGTGACAAGGGTTGTAAAAAGGAAGGAAGTGATGGTGGAGCCTGCAGCGATCACCCAGCCCAGGTAATAAGTGGGCCCAGTAGTATAAGTTTGTTGCCGGGTTCGCCCGAGGTTATGCCAGCCACATGCGAGTCTGCACCTCAGGTGGCAGTGGTACGAGGTATTCAGAGGTTCAGGGTAGTGTGTGCTGCCTGCTTACATGCTCACGACCCGCTCCTCACACGCTGCCACACACACACTTCCCCACCTGAGGTGCTCTTCACGCGGTGCCATACCCATACCTCGCCACCAGAGGCTCTTCTTACCTCAGGGTGCCTTGGAGTGCCTTTCGTGCGGTGCCCCACCGCGGGTGCCACGCTTAGTCGCTCTTGCGTTGGCCTGGGTGGCGGCTCAAGCACTGACTATCCGTCCGACACAGAAGTTACTGCCACCGCTGACACTCTAAGCTCCGCATCAGCTGACTCTCATTCTACTTATACCACTTGGCCTGTAGGTCGCGGCCCTGGGATGGCGCGTCTTCTTCAGCTACATCCAGGTTCTCACGACTATGTGACGGCGTGGCTGCGACACCAGCAGGCTCGTGGGCCCCGCGTACCCCCGCCACCTCCCCCTCAGGTAGTCCACGAGTCTTCCCACTCTGCCAGTCCTGAGCCTCCTACCCGCCACCAGCGTCGCCCCCGTCACCACCTGCATCGTCCCTCACGCCACAAGGACCCTCCACCGCCACACCTGCTGCAGGACCTCGAGACCGTCGTGTGAGTGTCACCTCCACACAAGCATTGTTTTACACATGTGTGACGTGTGTGAGGCCTAAAAATGTGACATTATCATTGAGAACGTTATAAGACTCATAGGGCACTACATGAGCCAGAGCTCTGCCCTCATGTTTGGTAGTGTGACAGTATACAGTGCCTGCACACCTGCCACTAGATGGGCGTGTGGTGCCTATATGTGGCAGAGTGATACGAGTGCGTGAGGTCGGTGGTAGAGTCGTTAGAGCGGGTGTGTGTGTGGAGGTAGCGGACGCGGGGTCAGCTACGTTACAGTCTCAGGGTGCGGACGGGTGGGAGCCGGCCTGGCTCCACTGCTCATCGGGGCCCGGCCCGCGCCACCTCCACCACGCCCTCAACCAGGGCTTGCCGCCTACCACCCCTGCTGGTGAGCTGGGTGGTGGGCGGGACAGGGCGGTGCGGGCTGGGCCTCCTGTCTACTATAAGTCATGTACACACGCCCTGGCCGGTGCTTGTGCCGTGCCATTAATGACAGATGTATGTTAAGTTCTTTATAACACTTTTTATATTATATTTTAAGATAAAATACTTTTGGAATCGTGCATTTTATTTCTTCTTCCTTTGAAATTGATCATAGAAAGAATTACATAACTCATTAAAATATATATTAGCACATACAATAATATAATACAGCAGAGCCACGGAAAAAAAATAAAAAATAGATAAGTCGACATTTACAAGGGCGTACATAATGTTTTTCCCAGTATTTGTGGCCTCTGACCCATGTGAGGGTAAAGACTAGCACAAGTATTAAAGCTCTGCATATGTTAGAGGAGGGCGAGTTTCTATGCTCAGGTAAGTCTAGAACCTTCAATTTTGGGAGGAGTTTTGCCCTTCGACCTCCTCCAGCTTTATTGCGTTACAAATCAGTCAAAGGTTTGTTGAGTTATCGTCTGGAAACAAAGACCCCAGAGAAAATAATGTACTTTAATCTGTCTTCACGGGAGTTTGCAAGAATAAAAAAAAACAATGGTTGTGGAGGAGTAACAAGTTTCATTATTTTACTTACATGACCTTTGACCTGACAGAACTTCATCAATGTATTCGGTCACACTGGGTCAAATTTCAAGAAGTTTAAAAAAATGTGTGAAGTGATTGTAAATAATAGAAAGGAAAAAGATAAGAGAATCAGTAAAGTTAATGTGTTTTCTTATACCAGGATGGAGGGAGTACAGGGAGCATACTAATGAACTCGATATAATAATAATATAAGCCATCTCCATTTAGTGCCAATAAGCAATGAATTCAATGACATGATCAACCAAATGTGTTTAGGAGCTGTTCAACTTGGGGTGTGTAGACAGCGCTTAACTTTGGGTATATTATTATTAATATGACTTGTTACAAAAACAGTACACCCATCTGAATATTCCATAGGTTACAGGGAAGCGTATACAAACAGGCGATAGAAGACGAAAGTTGATTTAAAAATACATGACACTAAACTGGAATTACATTGATATAATTCACAACTGGCTAACAATCACATAACATATAGAGAGCAATTCAATAATATAAATTTAATTGTAATATTGTCCACTTTTGTTATCTCTTTAGAGTACATAACACAGTCGTAATGTAGATAAAGCATTATTTAAAAACGAGAATTTAGAACCCATAGGTGAAGACTAAATTAATACTGTATATCGGGAGTATACCGGCAACACAACTTGCACATTTCCATATTTATCTTGAGTTCTCCACAACTATGACGCGTTAAAGCAAGTATTATGGTAATCTGTTGATGTGGCTCCATGAGCTGACGAACATAAGCGAGGCCCATACAGATAAAGTAGCAGATAATGAAGCTCGCCATCTATCACATAATGAAGCCCGCCATCTATCACATAATGAAGCCCGCCATCTATCACATAATGAAGCCCGCCATCTCACATAATGAAGCCCGCCATCTCACATAATGAAGCCCGCCATCTCTCACATAATGAAGCCCGCCATCTCACATAATGAAGCCCGCCATCTCACATAATGAAGCTCGCCATCTCTCACATAATGAAGCCCGCCATCTCTCACATAATGAAGCCCGCCATCTCTCACATAATGAAGCCCGCCATCTCACATAATGAACCCCGCCATCTCTCACATAATGAAGCCCGCCATCTCACATAATGAAGCCCGCTATTTCTCGCACTGTTGCCTTCAATTAAACTTTAGGCATTAAAAGGGCTGATCTGACACAATTCCGAACATGGCCTCACGAAGAAGTTGTTCACATACAGCGCCCTTAGACTAGTTCACTACAGCTCTGGGTACCACTTAACTAGATCAAGTCATCTAAACACACTAGCTACCATCACCCTTTCCGTAAACTAGTTGTCACCTCCTACTGTTACAGTTTTCTAATCTCTAGCTTCCTTGAGAACCGATCCATGGCAGTTGTAGTTGTTGTCAAGGGATCGATCTCTCGCTCTTTCTCTACCAATAGTGGTGTCCCACAGGGCTCTGTTCTCTCACCTATTCTCTTCCTTCTTTTTATCAATGATTTACTTCACACTACAACTAATTCTATCCATTCTTATGCTGATGATTCTACTCTTCACTCTTCTTCACATTCTCCCCTTCCTCCTAACTCTCAAACTAGATCTGTTTCAAGAGCTGATATCATTACATCTATCAATGCGGATCTGTGCAGCATCTCCGAGTGGGGAGATAGAAACTTGGTGAAATTCAATAGTCATAAAACTCAGTATTTACCAATTACACTTTCTAAATTAGATGATCTCCCACCAATTACATTTCAGGACGCTATCATCCTGCCAAATTCTGAAATAAATATGCTAGGCCTCACCATTTCCTCTAATATGTCATGGAAACCACACATCCTCAACATTGCTAAAGCTGCCTCCTGAAAGTTGGGAATGCTGTACAGATGCCGTAGCCACTTCACTCCTGAGCAGTTGCTTCAAGTATATCAGGGATTCATTCGCCCTAACTTGGAGTACTGCTCTCATATCTGGGGTGGCTCTTCTTCTGTCCAACTGTTAGATAGGGTGGAATCAAAGGCATTTCGTCTTATTTACTCTCCCCCTTTAGTTGATAATCTTTCTTCCCTTTCCCTCCGCCACAATGTGCTTCACTCTCTCTCTTTTACAAGTACTTTAACGGGCAATGTTCGGAGGATTTGACATCCTGTGTACCTTCCGGCAAGGCCGTGGGCTCGTAACACACGTCTTGCCAGCGGTGCCCACCGTTTCTCTGTGGCTGTCGGTCACAGTCACACTAAAATAACCCGTTATAGTACTATCGTGCACCAAAGTCGTGTCCACTACCCAGCCACAGTGAGGGTTCAAATTGCCTTGAGTCTGAAGTTTCGAAACAGCTGGGGGAAATGCTATGGTCAGCCAGCAGATGTCGCCCACTGTAGTGTGTGGGGGATAGAGGAGGTGGGGGTTAGTCTAGTAACAGGCTGTGTGTAGGTGGAGCATAACATCGTGAATTCCGCAATCACTGATAACAATAAGAATGTCATGAAGATAGTTAATATTATTAAGCATGGTGAGAGATGTGTAACGGGTAAATAAAAGCACTACAACGACCATTCACCTAAGCCAGCCAGCCGTTCACTTCAGCTAGTCAGCCGTAAACCTCATGCCAGCCTCAGAGAGCCAAACAATCTAAAAGAAATAAAAAACCCTTCCCCGTATCCACACACTCTCCCTCCCATCCACCCACCCTTCCTCCCATCCACACACCTTCCCTCCCATCCACACACCCAACCTCCAACCACACACCCTTCCTCCCATCCACCCACCCTTCCTCCCATCCACACACCCTTCCTCCCATCCACACACCCAATCTCCAACCACACACCCTTCCTCCCATCCACATACCCTACCTCCAATCCACACACCCTTCCTCCCAGCCTTCACACCCTAGAAAGAAAAATAAATTAATATTTGATGATTTTGATATTCTTCATGAGCAAAGAGCGAGTCATCAGTCGAACATTAACTCACGTCTCACGGCCTAAATCCCAAATAATAATAATAATAATAATAATAATAATAATAATAATAATAACAATAATAATAATAATAATAATAATAATAATAATAATAATAATAATAATATTTATAATAATAATAATAATAGTAATAATAATAATAATAATAATAATAATAGTAATAATAATAAAAATGGTAATGGAAGTATAACGCTTATGCTAACTGTGGAAGCCAACTGCTTGTTTGGTTGTGGACTAGTTTAGTGACGTAAGAGCGGATCGTTGACGAAGCTTCGAAACTCATGACTATCTTTCGTTAATAATTATCAGTTTTATTTTAGCTAATGGTGGATAGAAGTGATTTAAGAAAATTAATGAGATTATAGATGACGGACCAATCGTGTATGGTGTTCTTTCCGCCGTCCAGTCGATTATTTTCATATGAATCAGTAAAGCGAACCAATGAATTAAGGAATCGAAGCACCTCGGGTTCGCCACTCGCTAGTGATCATTACAGTAGAGGTACGGCAGTTGTGGCGGCAACATGTGGTGGTGAGGAAGTGTTTACAGTGATGGTGGTGCGGAAGTGGTGGCGGTGAAGAAGTGTCTGTGGTGAAATCAAT